TCTGTGATTCTGTGTGATTCTGTGATAGTGTTTCCCTTGTGTTTTCTAGTAGTGTGCAATGGATACAGCTTCTGACATGTAGGACATTGATTTATTCTAGACTGTTTGAAAGGCTGAAATCATTTTCCTTGATCTTGTGACAGTGAGTGGACACCTAAGCATTACCAAACAGTGAAAGACAGATTGACTTGGTTTTGGCCTCTAATTCCAGTAACATGAAAGAAAAAGTAGCCCTTTTTAGCTGGTGCCTACCATGATTCATTCACTCATTTCTATCAGCTCCTTAGGATATATTGTTCTTCTAGCTTTTGGTGTTTCTAACTTTGTAGCATGTTTTATTTTTGTTTCCTTGACTGTCTTCTGCTAAACATGTAACTTGGCATAGTGTACCAGCCCTTCCCCTGTCAAGTTCCACAGCAAGTAAAGTAAAAGCCTTAGACAATGATAAAGTTAACTTATGAAGCATTTTAATATGCTCATAAAGTAAAAATAAGTGTGTTATATTTGAAATAGTCTTTTATTAAATTGTCATGTGCTACGGTTTCTGTAGGTTAAGTAGTATCAACACAGACTTTGAATTCCTGGCCCACTGAAGTAAATCAGACTGAGATTTAATCATAAATGTATTACTATTACAGCAGAGCTATGCATCCTATGAGGCAACTTCTGTAGGAAGGGGTAATTTTTATTATTATGCCAACTGACTTGTCTTTTATTTCTTTACTCACAGATTGCAACAAAAGATGGTGCACTTTGGAAAGTGGCTTTCTGAGCTACTATGAAAATGATAAAACTACCACTCCTAGTGGTATGATTGACATCAATGAAGTAATCTGTCTTGTAGTACACAAGTCAGACTTCTTTTTAAACAGAGGGTAGGTTTCCAAATTAATACTTCAGTAAGCAAACTCAGGTATTTCGAAAATTTAATTATGAGTTTTGAGAACCGTTCATTTGTTCCTAAATTTTGAACATGCAATTTAGAAAAAAAATCTGAATTGTTTTATGTTGACTTCAAGAAATAAGTGCTAAGTGGTATTTGGGGATTTTTTTTTTAATAGTGATATAGTGAAAGTGTTAGGGTAATTTTAAAAGGGCAGCATAAATAAGATACATATTTTTCTTATTAAAACTGTAATGCATATTCTCAGTGCTTAAAAGGTTACATGGTGATAAATTGAACAATTAATGCTCCTGTTTCTTTCTGAGATTGACCTCTGCCTCAAGCCAAAACTCTTGCTGTTTCTTCCTGATAATAATGCAGCAGATTAGAATTCTGCAAGTGAAGACAGCAGTGTCACCGTTGAACGTTGTGTTAGTTTGAAGAGACCTTTTTTGATGGGGTTTTTTTTTTCTTTTGTAACTCTTCACATCCCATTTGTACATCAAACCATGATGTGGAGATTCACCTAAATCTGAGTTGCATCCCAGTGATACCTGATTTCTTTAGGGCAACATTTTTGTTTAAACTATACTTATAAACTCCATAACTGTTGCTTTTAAATTTCTTTCGTGTGTGTGTATGTAAAATTACAAGTATAATACTGTAATGCTTGTAGTTACAAAGCAAAAGTGTCTGCAAAGAGTCTATTCAGTAAGCTTCTGGAAAAGGTAATGGGAAGAAAAGACTTGAGCTACTAGGGAGGTTAAGGGCGTTCAGAGGGGAGAAATCCTGAAACATGGTGATGCCTCGACATACTATAAAATACAGTGGAGATGGTGTTCACTATTCTGCAGAAGCATAGCTTTGTGGTATCCAGAAAAAAAGAAAAGTATTGCTTTCTTCTGTCATTGTATCTAACCTATGGCTTGCTGCATATTGAAATGATTCCACTCAGGATAGTACCTGAATTAGAAACGTGTTGGCTGAATACTTCACTTTTAGGGAATGACTAACCTTCTGCTGTGCTTCACCTGCTATTGAGTAGTTTTATGAAAAACTTCCTTAAATTTGATACTTCATATAGTGAAACAATTTTCCTTAAAATGTCTATTCTGTTAGTCAGAATTAAATGTTTACAAATAATTTTCAAAGTGGTTATTGAAAATGAGAGAACTGATTCATGTTCACTTCTCCAGATTTAGACAAATCTTGACCTCCAACATTGGAAGGAAAAAGCGTACTCTTATCTATTTGGATTATAGGGAGAGATCACAGATTAATTCATACTATAAATTTGTGAATCATAGTTTAGAAGTTAAAGACTGACCTAAATCCCAACAAGACATTTACTTTCCAAATTCCACCCCAGTTTTAACTGGTTGCCTCCTTCTTCTTTTACTATCCTTATTATTTGTCAGTTAAAAAGTAAAAAAACTGGGGAAAATCTGTTTAAATATGATATACTTTTTAAAAATTAATAAAAAAAAAAACACCAAGAAACCCCCTCAAAAAACTTTTAAGAACTTCTTGAGCTACAGCAACTTCAAAGGGTAGTCATAAACATGACAGAACCCAAGTGTACTTGGTGGTGGCAGGTGATACAAAGAGTGGCAGCAACCACGGATTTTGCCCTAGGAGGTTTAGGCTGGTTGATAGGAAAAGCCTGTTCATTAGAAGGGTGGTGGAGAACAGGAATGGGTTGCTGAGAGAAATAGTTGTGTCCATCCTCGAAATGTTTGGAGGCTTTTCGTGGCTGTTCTCATCTATGGTTAGTTGTAGTCCTGCTTTGAGCAGATTAGATTAAGTGACATCTAAAAGTCCCTTTGAACCAACATTTCTATGATTCTATGGTAATTCATTTACAACTTCCCATTCATTGAGTTAGACTGCTTATATTAAACCTAAACAAAATGTTTTGAAAGCATCACAAAAATGTACTTGCTGAAATCAGATAAACTTGCAAAAGCAAAAAATTCCCTGTGAATATTAATGACTATATGTAAACATTTTTATTAATTTCAGAATTACTGAAAAAACAATTATGCAGTAGCCTCTAAACATTAATGTATTAATGACCTCAAAAGCACTTTGATGATATTGTGTTATAAAATCCTCTGTTATAAGCTGGGTTGTACTTGTAAGATTGGAGAAGAAATGCAGGTGTATTCCATTCCATAGGTATGAAAGAATGAAAAAATAGAGAAATGGGACTCGTGTGTCTACTGTTATGAAGACTAAATACTGCTGCCTTTTTCCTCTTGCTTGTTTTAGGGACATCTTTACCTTTGAAATCTACTTAATTTCAGAACGTGTTTTTCTATTTGGAGTTGAAACTGCATATTCACAAAGAAAATGGACTTGGGCAATAGCTAAGGTAATACTGATAATTATCTTTTCCAGTTGGGCCAGAAGCCTTTGCACAAAGAATAAAGTGTCATTGTTAGCTTAAAATCCTCTGAAAAGCCATTCTTGATGAATGCTAATCTATCTTGTGCGTAAAGGTTTCTTGTGCAGCAGGAAGAAATAACTTGTGTGATTTAATATTTGAAACAAGGTAATAAAATAAAATGTAAAAGGAATTGAAGCAACATTTTAATGCCGGCCTTAAGAATATATTAAAGGTACTCTAGTATAAAGACATATACTGTATGAATTTATTTCAGCTAGGTTGTTTATGACTGCAATTCTGTATTATTTGTTGAAACAATTCATAAAGCAGTACAGTATTTTATACAGTACCAAATGCTAATGGTCACATTGCTAATTACTTCAATTGTGGTTTAAAAAGCAGATATATTTGAGTTGTAGGGTGCTAATGGACAAAATATGTTTTACTTGATTTTATAGTTTAAATTTAGTGTCTTTATGGGTTTATGAATGATAAATCTGGAAGGTTTTTTTTTTTAATGCGACTTTCATCCTTGAATCTTATAGATTTGCAATATCTTGATTTGGGGTTTTCTGTGGGGAAGAGGGATTTTTTTCTTCATTTGACTCACCCCATTTTCTTTGGTAGCATTTTGTTCCCCCTGTGGCTGAATGCTTATTAGAGAGAGACTGTGACCTGATTGGCCAGCTGTACTACAAAGATTGCCATAACCTGGATCAATGGAGAAAAGGCTGGTTTGCTATAGAGAAGTCAAGCCTTTATTTTTGTCTTGAAATGGAGAATGCTGAAGAAGATTCCATCTATCTAAGGAGGTTGCAAGAGCTAAGTAAGAATTTTGCTTAACATCTAGAATGTGGGAAATATTCTATGGAATTAATTCACTATTAAGGACATTTCTAATACATTTTAAAGTCATAAACGTTAGGAAGATCAGTAACTATTCCTTTGCATGAGCCAGTTGCTATTCCAACTCTTATCTATATATGGAGTTGGTGAAGTTCTGTTTTGGATTTTTTTCCCTACTTAGAGGCATGCGCTAGAGACTTTTTTTGCAGCTTCATAATGAATGAAGACAATTTTTGTTCTAGTTGCAGCAGTATCTTTCTTACAGGAGTAGAGAATTGAATAATAATATATGACCTTTTGGGATTATTGTCTCGTATTTTTGACAGGGCAGAAATGCTCACTGCAGAACATGTTCTTGAGATGATTGACAGTCCTAGTTTTAAAATACTCAAATATACTGGAAAAAATTATAATTCTCTTGGAAAACTTTTTCACAGACTAATAGACTTCTTTTTTCTGACACTAAAAATATTCTTTGCTCAATATAATGACATGGAAAGATAAGAGTATTTATACAAATGGTCTTCTATGACCAATTTTATATCGTCTGTAATTATACTCTGAATCCTCTTTAAGCATGTCTGCCCTGTTTGTTTTTATATTGAACAAGGTAATATGAATGAAAGTAAAAGTAGTTTGAGATTTTATATTAAAATAACTGAGAAAATTATTTAGCTCTTTAGTGATGATCCTCTTTGTAAATGCTGTCAGATTGTGGACTGTTTTGCAGGAACTTGCCTGAATGCCATTGGTCTTTCTACTGTTTATTTAATGCCACCTTATATTTGCTGTGAATAACACCGTGAAGGTGGCTTTTAATCAGAAATATATTTGTACCTCTAGCTATCTTTTACCTTACAAATACTTTTTGATCTTGATTCAGAATTAGAAGGTTAGATAGTAGGAGAACTGTTGCTTATACTAGTTTTGATATTACAACTGTAATTGCACCTACCCTAATAAGATAAGAATCTAAAATCTGTGCATATCTCAAGTATAGAAATGAAACACACATTTAGCTTTTGGTTAAAAATTGTTTTTGCTTGGCTTTTGATTTTTAAATATTTGTTGTATAATAGACCTGTATTTCTTGGAAATATATGTCCATACGGCTGTCTTTCCTTTAATTCCTAGTTTCTCCAAAATAAATCTGTTCCACTATTAAGACTGAATTGTATAACTGAAATTTGCCAAATAATGAATCATCAGTGGAAGTATAGTCACTTACCTTCTTGATATTTGACTCAGTAAATGTAAATGAGGCCAGGAGAGTATGTGATACAAAATCATCATGTAACACGCATCAGAGTGTGTTTATTGAGCTTTACTGATATTCAGGACTTTACTGCCTCTGGAAATTAGTTGAGATAAGATGTGGATTATATATAAGACCTAAGCTTTGAAAGAATTAACTTTTGAATTAGTAAACAGGTTACTGCTCTTAGTATACTGCACAGTGTAGTTTTATAAGCACTGTTACTGGAAATTCTACAGATGCGTTTTCTGTATTATGTATAATGTAGATGTTTTGCAAGGTGCTTTTTTTTAGCAGGAGTAGCATAAGGCAGCATAAAGAAGGGTGACAGTGATCTTCACAGTATAACATATAACTCACGTTATGTTATTTTAAGTACCTGCAGCCATTAGGGTGCAAGTAACTTAATGGACTAAAATATCCAACTTATTTCTGAGTCATTATGTCTTCTAAAACTTCTATTTACAAGTTTAATTTTAAAATAATAAAGCACTGTAGCATGTTTTCACATTAAAAAGTACCTGTTTAACTTTTCTTTATGATTTTCTCTATTAATATTCTTGTAAATGTGAGTGTATTGTGGTATTTTCTGGAGTTTTGTTTCTATTATCAGCCACATTCTTTATATGAAATATTTAAGAATTCCATGTTCCTTTTGTACCTGAGGGTCATTTTGAAAAAACATGTCTATGTGTGCATGCATGTATGTGTTTGTCTATATGTGTCTGTGTAAATCATATGAATGTGTATGTGGTTTTGTTTCAGCAATTAGTAGTATGATGCAAAATGGAGAGAAAATAGATGTCCTGCTGCTTGTTGAAAAAGGAAGGTAAGGTTCCCATCTGAATAAAGATTTGATCTGCTTTTATGTTGATGTCTTAGAATTCTTACTGATCATTCATGGAGCTTTTTCACCTGTGGTTGCTAGTGAGAGAGTAAATTTGCAGACTATTTAAAGGAGGGAAAGTCTTCGTGTATTAATTATGTTTCATGTCTGTGTCAGGAAATGTTAACAAGTATTGCTTAATTAAAAGCAGTTTTCCCACTGAGAAAATTATTCCCAGTCAGATTAGTTTGCCAATAATGGTTTCTTCAAAAGGACCTAACTTCTTTTACCCTGTAAAGAAAGAGGACCTCTTTGGAGCATTTACCATTTACTGGTTTTTATCACACACAATTTTTTATCCCACTTATGTCCCAGAATTTTGTCTCAGTCTGTGTAGGTCAGGACTGAGAGGGTCTGTATGAGTCCCCTGGTTAGTCTTATTGTAATATCTGATCCCAGTTAACAACGTACTAGATGGAAAGAAACATACTTGTGAAGCAAACGTGATCCATATTTGCTTTCAAGTAGGTAATATTCTGCTGAGATGACTCTGTCAAATATAGTGACATGGGAGGTTGAAACTTGAGGTGAGGTATGTTATTTCTGCCTCATATCTTGGTACGAATTTAAATACGAAAGTAAAATTATTGAAAATAATTATTATTTTGTAATCAATTTTTTTTTTTTTAATTTCACTGATAGATTATTGGGCAAATGTGTAAGAAGTGGTGCAGTGTTTACACAGCAATACTTCTGAACAGCCAATAATAGGTCAATAAAGGAAGATTGTTTTTCTCTTTGTTAGGGAAACAAAAAAAGCCTGGCAGATACCTTTGACATCTATTCAGAATTGGAGAAACTTGTTGAAGAAACTTATTGTAACTTGTGTGTTTTGAATTTTAGCTTCATGAAATACTGTTTAAGATTTGGAATTCAGTAACGTGATAGAGATGAGGAACAAACATTTTTTCCCATTGGGTTCTTTTTTTTTTTTTTTTTTTTTTTTTTTAAGAAGCATATTGAAAGATTCAGCGTTTAGTAAGCAGCATAAACCAAACAGGGAACCAGAGGTATCCTATTCAAGGTGCAGTCTAATATATGAATACAGGCTGTGCATCCAATTTCATAGATATCAGAACTGAGCAAAACTTCAAGCTCCAAGTCCACTATTATTATTTCAATATTTCTGTCAAGTGAGGGTAGGTTTTCCCTGAACTGCTTTAATAGTTTAATGGAAATTCTGGACTATTTGAAAATAAATTCAACAGGGGTACTGACTGATTTATGGTAGCCATGAATATGTTTTTCTTCACTGAAGTCTGCTGTAAAGAATTTAAATGCATAGTGTTCACATTATCTTAACCATTAAAAGCCATTTGGGTATATAAGCTTTGGCATAGTGATTCTTGCTTAGGGAATTACTCCAAAAGTATCCAGGTGTTCAGCACAGTTGCCTGATACTGCATCTTGCAGTGATAAGAAATTTAATGTGTGTGTGGGGAAAATGATTGAGTATAAAAGCACCTTTATCTTTAGACTCAATTATTGTAAATGGAAACAAAACTAGCAGTCCTCCCTCTGCCCCTCCGTACCTTAGATAAATTAATTAATACTTTTGAGACCTCATCAATATCAGCTAAATGATGTATCTCATGATGTATCTCAGTTTCTAGGTTTTCCTATTTTTTCTATTATTTTATACCAGTGGTTATGTAATGCCAACTTTGGCATAGATTAGTCAATTGGAAGAGACCCTATGTACTGATCTATTGACAATTTTCACATTAATTTGTTAGTCACTTAAGTGCAGGATAAATTATAAAATCCAGAAAGACAGTATTGCAAGAATGAAACAAAACACAAGATTTTTCCAGAATTAAGAAAAGTCTGAAAAAAAACAAAAACAAACCAAAACAAAAAAACCCCACCCCTTTTTTATTGCATAAAGCCTTTTTTTTGCATAAAGAAATAAATGTGGTCAATGTCTTACAGCATCTTGCAAAATTTTATTAGAAGAAATTATTAAAATACCCTGAGTATTTTTCTACTGAAACTTATACTGTTCTTCTGTTGTTTTTGTTACTGACTTCAAGCTAACTTCCCGTTACTTACTTAAGCCTTTTTTTCAAGTCTTAGTCATTGGGTTGATCAGTTAGAGAAAATCGTAAATTACATGTATCACATACTGTTTTATTTGACATTTTTTTCTATTGGCTACTGTAGCCAAAAGAATTACTTAAGTTGTTACAAATTACTCTAACTTAAGAGTGATTGCGTACGCAAGTAAACAGTTTCAGAACTACAAAAATTTCATCTTACTGCTGAAATAATTATAATGTAATAAATCTATGAATTCTGGACTTTTAAAAAATGCTTAGTAAATGTATGTGTATGTTAAATTAGTGAGGTACATAAATTTAATGTTCATCTGGTCCATAACTACTCAGAGGAAGAGTTTACAGTTGATTCTGGGCTCCAAGGTGCTTGCCAGGTTGTATAAAATGCAATTCAGAGAGAGTACTACCAAAAGGCGTGTGAGATTTTTCTGAAGTGTCTTAGGTATGAATACAATTCACTCCTGCCCCCCTTTTTTTCCCCTCTTCCTCTAGCCTGTTTTCTACTTAGCACCTTGCTGTTCATTTATTCTCTATCTGACATGTTCAGCAAAAGAGGACTACCAGCTCAGAAATCAGAGGTGGTAATCATACAACACATTGCAAAGTAATAGCGTATCATGAGAGGCTGAACCAGACAAAAACATTTTCAAAACAAGAAGACTGTTTCTCTTTTGAAGTTCGCTGTTCATTTTGAAGCTCAGTATACTTCCTAAATTTTCACAATAACCCTAAACTTTTTCTAATTCTAGATTTTTTTTCCAGATGTCAAAGATGTTTCATGTTTGTCTTTGGGTATCTTTGCTAAAGTAAATTACAGAGGAACATAATCCCTTTTGTGGCACCTATGTTATTGCACTCTGATCTCTATTGGAACATATTGTCCAATGTTAGAACTATCTCCAACCCAGATGGAAATCCCAATTTCTCAAACGACTGTTTTCTTATGCCATAAGCAGATGGTTATTTGTCTCCTCTTATGTTCTGCTTTCATAGTTTAAATTGTTATTGACTTCTTGATAAAAGTGGCAAGCCATTTTCCAGATTTCTGTGTCTGACACTTCCCTCCGTTACACAGAGATGTCCTCTGGTTTACTCCGTGTTCAGTTTGGGTTTTTTTCCCCTTGGTCTCTCCTGTCTTTTTGTAAAATTTCTGAACAGACTGGTAATAGTGGATCTCCTGTTGCCATCCGAATGGAAGTTGCATAGTAGGTGAAGAAGCTGCTCCTGTGTAGGACATCAGAGGGATATGCACACTGAAGAGAATAAAGGTGTCTGAAAACAACTATATACAGTAATTTTAATACTTTAAGGAAAAACAGTGTGCAGACAATTCAGTTTTAAATGTTTCTGTTTTTCTGTAGTAATTTAAGCTCTCTTAGGTGTCAGTGAATATTTTCAGACCATAATGTAGTCCAGATGGTGCTTTTTTTTTTTTTTTTTTTTTTTCTTACACTTCTCTGGTAGTTAGCTCTTTCTTGTTATAGATAATAAACCTTCCCTACATACTGACACAATTTCTTTATTCTGATGGTTCATTAATTACAATGCTTTCTTCTTAACCCTTTGATAATAGCAGTAAGATTTCTTGTAAAATACAGTTACAAGCAGAAAATTCTAGAATCCAGAAATAATCTAAACATAAGACTCAAATGAGTGAAAGGACTTGTGATTCCGTTATAATGTGCTGGATATAAGACCCTTAATATCCTTTGAAGAAATATTGCTAGTGTTTGTTATGTATCTGTAGTTATTAGTGGAATTTCTATGCTTTACTTGCAGTTTGGTTATTCTGATATAATTTCATAACAATGCATACCTCTTAGTACCTCTGTTTTCAGATATGTAGATTATTAAAATCACTTGAAAATTGCTGGAGGGCACAGAGCTGTGCTGATGTCTGTTTCTCACCCTTTCTCCCCACAACCCCTACCCAGAATCACTTAGTATCACTGCTTTCCCAGTGCAAAGTTGTGCAACAAAGGATAGAGGCATAGCTGAAGCTAGTGGACTTTGCAGGATGGATTAAAGAGAAGCTTTTGTACTGTTCTGGATGAAGTGTGCTAGTATATATTTTTTGCCTGGCTGCTGGTGCAGAAAGATGTGATGGTAGTCCACGATAAAGTTGAAAAGCTAACAATAGCTTCCTTGATGTTGAGACTAGGTGATCTTGGACTGCTGCAGTCATTTGTGCCAATTGGGTTGCCTCTTTGCAATGAAATCTACATTGGTGGTCCTTCTTGTTTGTTTGAGTAGCTAAATTATTAATTTCTTGGGTATGGACTGTATGTGCTTCACACTTAACAGAGCAAAAACTCAGACATTATTCACCGCGTAGTCATTATTGTTTATTTGTTATGAAGTGTGTGCTCTTTATCAATTTTTTGAACTGGAAGTAGCACATATATAAATATACTGTAGAAGGCACTGAATTTATATTGTAGGAATGCATTGGGTTCAGCGTCTGTGCAAAGTAGTTTTTAGTCTGTGTGCTAGGTAGATACATTGCAGTAGAAATTATTTCAAACATGATTACTTCAGTAAGCTTAGAAGTATTCTTGACATTAAGTTGCTCCGTTTTGTGGTACCTGGGACATCAGTACACTTCAGCCTGTGTTTATATGCTTAGTCTTAAGCCTTGCATTTAATATAACTTTATATTTTGATAATAGCAGTTAGTTCAGTGGGGAGTGTATGTATTTGTTATTACTACTGTCTCTGAAAACTGTGTGGAAGAGATGATATTGACATGAAAAGCAGAAGCTAGATCCACAAAGCTGTCTCTATTACTTCATGAAGTTCTGTAGAAGACTGCTACTGTGCTTTGAGGAAAGTTTTGCTTTTCTGGTGGTAACTCTTCATGGACATCAACAGTTGGTTTCCAAGTAGGAAAAACATGTTGTTAAGTTTGTCTGAAAGTGTTAAAATTAAAAGGAATACTTAAATTTCTTATTTGTACATTGTTGTATGTTTTTATGATTTAAATGTGTCCTAGGTGTGTTCTCTCTGCCAAAAGTACTGCAGTTTGAGATGAGCTTACTATGCCACTTCTACAGTAAATTGACTGAATTCTGAACAGTGTCTGGTACTGGTTTTATTTCCTTTTCTCCCTTCTTCTCTTTTATGCTGTTGGAGTAAATGCTGACCTTGCTTCTCTGACTTATCTGACTTTCATAGGTGACTGCTCTGGAGATTTTTATCTGGGCAAAGTTGTGGGGTTTTTTTTTTGTTTGTTTGTTTTGTTTTTTTGTTTTGTTTTTATATAAATTTTTTATATAAAATGCTTTGGGTTTTTTCTAAAAATATGAATTTCTAAAATAATTAAAATGAATTTTTGTTTGTATTTTGATGGAAGTATTTTCATAGAAGTTCAGTAGAACATTTTAACTTTTCCTGGTTAGCAAATAAGTTGTCATTAAAGAAAATGGATCCCCTACATTTCTTCAGTGGGACATGAAGGTTATGTACGTAGAAAAGTTTGCTTGCTATTTTAACATATAAACCTTTTGTTTATTACACATATGCATATGGATGGACATACATTCTTAAACTTTTCAATTTTGGAATTGTCTCTGAGGAGCTAGCCTGTCAGGGGTAAATGGAGGAGATTATTGCAGCATGTTTCAATAGTAAAATTGGAATAGGGCCATGCTTGGAGATAAACAGGTCATTAAAGTGTTGCATTAACTTATTCTACCTCAACTCTTAGTTTTTTCATACACATTCCTTAGCTCTGTGATTTCCTGGGGGTGATATTTGTAAAGGAGGGAAGTTCAGTATGTCTCAGCTCCTCTACAGTAGTGTGGAGGGGTGGGGAATAGAGGAGAAGGAAAGCCTTTTCTAGTATTGAAAGTTGTCTCTAAATCTTTCCCACTTGACTGTGACTTGGACTTATGAATCCACAGTGTAGGAGCAAGACTGAAGAAAAGTGATTAAAATGTTGGTCAGGTCCTTTCAAAGGCCTGTGACAGTGTTTGTGGATCTTCTTTCATTTATTGTGACACTGCCAGTACAAACGTAGTTGGAAGAAAAAAGATGCTGTAACAATAGGCTACCATCACAACTTTTATGTGTTGGAAGGTGCCTTGATGTCTTATTCTAAGTATTTCTTATTTTTTGCAGACATCTACTATGTTGCTGTAGTACAAGAACACCAGTTTTCTATTTCTTTCCTGCATTCAAAATATCATTATACTTTTCAGAACACTATACATCCATGGCCATACGAAGCTGGATTTCATGGTCTGGTATACTGCAATTGAAAAAGCAGCAGGTACAGATGGTAATGCATTACAAGATCAGCAGCTCAGCAAAAATGATGTTCCTATTGTAGTGAACAGCTGTATAGCATTTGTTACACAGTATGGTAAGTATAGTGGATTTTATTCAACCTAAGATCATTTGTATAGTACCTAAGGCCCCACACCATCAGATCTTACTGAATGAGTTTATATATTGTCTAAAGTAAAACCATATTCCTCATTAGCCTCACCACTCTTTGATGTGATGGTGAAGTACACTGACACACATCTGAAAATGGGCACTTTGGGGAAGCACAGCTTGGCAGATGCCCTTTATAGACACCTTCCCATTTTAAAAATTGACTTGTTTGCCTGATGTATCTCAGCCTTGGGGTCCAGTGCCTCAGTGCAGAACATCTCAGCCACGAAAATAAGCTATGTGACCCAGGAAAGGCTATGGCCTGGACTGGTCAGCATGTCTTCTGGGAAACTGATTTTAAATGTGGAGTTGAATTCAGTCTTAAGGATGCTGTTTTTTTTAGCACAACAGCCTAAAGGCTAAAGGACATATAGTTAGTTATCAGTTGTTTAAGTAAATTTTTCCAGTATAACTTTCCATAGCATTAGTTCATATGGGCATGATGTCTGTGTCCTTTTTGCTACTGCAAATTCATCAGTTTTTCTTGTGAAATGCTAAATACATATCAACCGTGTACAAATCTGTGTTCTGGATAAATGTGTCTGTAACCTCTGTGAGTATGAGAAAGCCTAATTTATTTTTCAGTGATTGAAGTTTAACTTTTGCATATGGCAACACTGCATTATGGTAAATAGTTGTGTCTGGGTTACAGCTATTGACTAAGACGAAGAAAAAAAATGTTTTTGCTGAGTTAGTTATTAATCATTAGCAACAGCAATTATTCTAAGTGTAGTTTACACTGTTTCATGCACTGAAGTGTTGTTAAAGCAGGATAATTATGTCCGCCACTCAGAACAATTGCTCATGTGTGTTCTAAATTAAAATTCAATTTCCTAATGTCTTTTAAATAAGTAGATCTTTATTGAAAAATATGTTTTATCAGGCTCAGGATTACTGGGTGTTAAAATACTTTTATGAAAGCTGAAGGAATTATTTGTATGCATTACTTGTATGCATACATGTTTTTGTGTCATCATGGTAAAGGTTCTGTCGTTAGTTGTGGTCTACAGGTGACAGACACTATCAGGTCCCACAGCTGTTCCTAACAGTAACGACACAAAGGCAGCATCAAATGGTAGTGCTTGTGGGCACTACAGGAAAAATGAATTGCAAGAACATAAGACATGCTTTAATAGGTTTTGACAGAGTGCTTATGTTGACAGGTACATAAGAAAAACAGGGTTTTGTATAAAATTCTCTTTCAAGAAATGTGGGCAACATAGGAAAACCTCTACAAGGAGAAACAATGGGACTGCACATCTATGCCAAACTTCCACAACTTTTAAAAGAAAAAAGGGTTTTGGCTACTCTCATATGCAATAATTTACTTGTGTTTTAGACTAAGATTTTTTTCCAAATTGGCTTTGGGCTTTGGTGTTTTTAGTTGTTAAATACAAGAATGGTGGCTGCCTGATGTCTTCCTGAACATGGGAAAAATCAGAAAAAAGAATACTTTCTACTAATCTTGAGGTTTTTAAGAGTGAAATGTTTCAGACTGGATGAATACAGTATTACTTTACTGAGTGTTAAGCTGAGTTGATCAGTAGGGTTATAAAATTTTCAGAGTTTTGCTTGTGAAAGCAGCTGTGTTTTATTTGTAATACAGTACCAGTTATCAAAACTTCTTTCCTTTACTGTGCCCTTTGAAGCTATTGTTTTAGGAAGTCCTGAAGAGATTTGGGGATTTGAATTGCCTGTAAAGTATTACTGAAATTGCGATCCCAGGCTTGCTTAATATTATGACGTGTATTTTTGTAAAGAGGTCTGTTTGGGTCTAAGCAGACTTGGCAGTTTTTTTACTAGTAAAGTGAGTATGTGCAAAAAATCAGAGAGATTTCAATAGGAAATACAATGGCTTTGACAGCCAGGTATGCTTGTCATATAACCATGTTTGGAAATTTTAAAAGAATATTCAATTTTGCATTTATTTATTTTTCTGTCCTGTATATCTCTCATTTAGGTTTAGGTAGCAAGCAGATCTACCTTAAGAATGGTGATTCTTCCAATGTGGCTGAACTGCTGGAAAGCTTCAGAAAAGATGCAAGGAGTGTTAAACTAAGAGCAGGAAAACATCAGCTTGAAGATGTGACAGATGTGTTGAAAAGTTTTCTTTCTCAAATAGATGATGCACTTCTCACTAAAGAACTTTATCCATTCTGGATATCTGCGTTAGGTAATGTATTCAATAACACTCAATACAAGGTGGTATGCACACTTACAGTATCAAATTTGAGGAGGTTTTTGATTACTTGCACTGTGTCAACATATGTTATTTGCTAATTGTCAAAACAATTGTAGTGAGGGAAAAAAACGTTTAAAACTTGTCTGCAATAGACTTATGTTAATCAGAAATTATTTTACTAATAATAATTAGTATTAGAATAGTCGTAGAATAATAATAATAAATAGCAGTGTTTCCTTGATAATGTATCTGTAAACAGTAGACCAATATTGCACTGTGTCATCATTGGACCAGCCAAGTTAAGAAGTGCTGATTAATATTTTATGGAAGCATGGATGATAAAATTCAAGAAATAGACAAATGTTAGAGTAGGAAAAAGGTGTGTACAGTCTTTTGATCACATGTAGAAGTTTAGTTCAAAAGTGGCAAAATGTTGATGCTATTATCTACGTGATTAATAAATGACAGTCTTGCTGCTTAAATTCTTCAAATATATTTTATGAACATTCACATAAAGTTACCTATATTAGCAATGTAAACTTGTTAACAACTGTTACTTGTTTTTTGTTTCCTTAGAAATATTAATTTAATTTGAAAGAAAATTTAAGTAACTTCAACCCAAACTGTAACTTGTGACATATTTAAAACATGAGGATATGTGTTTCTGTATGCTTGAAAACAGAACCATGGAATTACTAATGCATTAATTAGTTACTCATTACATAAATTGTGATAATTTTATAGTGTTCTTACAAAGCAGCTATATTTCTATTTGTTTCTATATTGCAGTATTAAAGACTGCAAGAAACAAACTCCTTCCTTCCCAAACTGTGCTATGGGATTGGAGATGATGCATAGCAATAGGGCATGCATAGGAAAAGCTAAGATAGGACATTAATTTCTGCATTAATGCATTGAAATCATATAGGCCTATTTACTGTGTGGCTAGTTTTTTCTTTAAAATAAGATGTTAAAGCATATTCCTCCCTGATTTTGATTAAGTTCAAACATATGGAGGTTGCTTTAATATGAACCACCAGAAGTTTGGGAAATTCAAGTATGAATATTACACATTTTTGCCCTTTAAGCTTGATTTGAGCAAACTAGAGGAAAGAATATTAAGAATTTATTCACTTATCACAAGATTGCTCTCATGAGAAATCAGAAAAAGTTGCATCTGTAACAGCTTAGATGTAAGTTAGTTCTTTTGTGTAAATGCATGATGTTGTTACAGTGATTTAACTTCCTGATTTGTACATGGGGCTAAAATTCTGCTTCAGCTTTACAGCAGAGAATCCTGTCTTGTTGTAGTTAAGTGGCACTGAAAGTACTTGTGGGAAGACTAAAACACTTAGGAAGACAGAGTAGAAGGCCTTTAAAGTAATTTTGTGTTGTTTGTTTGTTTTGTCATCCAATTGCTGAAGAAATCTAAATGGTGCAGTAGTTAGTGGAGAGTGCTAGCAGTCAGCTGGAAGAGATGAGAGTTCTTCTGTGCTTTTTCTTTTCAAAAACTTGAGAGTAGCAAGGTACTGAGAAGAAAAACCTAAATAAATAAATATATTAGCTTTGCTCATGCCCCAAGCAGGATTATGCTCTGTAGTATGCGGCACAGGGAGGAAGACCTAACTTGAAGGTAGAGAGCTATGTCTGTGTCTTGGATACTGGAATTGCCAAGACTGGAACTCCTGTCATTGGCTCTGCTACTGTTCAGCCATGTAACTTTCTTCACCACCTGTTCCCCTTTGCTCTCCTCTTGTCAGTCTTATGTATTTGGATCTTTAAACTACTTTGGGCCAATAGAAAATAAAAAAAAGATTAAAAGGTGTTTTCCTTTCTCATCTCTGGGAACTCTTAGAAGTACATTTGCACTTGTGCATGCACATATGCGCTCACACATGTACACACACAAACTACAGATTAAATATCCTTTGAGAGGAAAAGCAGTTGCTATCCTGGAATTTAGTCTTAAACTGTAGCAAATGGTGCTTGAATATAGAACTGTCCCTCTTTACTGCTGATATTGTTTCCTTGCACTGCTGTACAATAATAGACTTTGTAATACAATCTAGTAGATTGTTAGTATTGCCTTTATGAAGAAGAGGTTGATTGGGTAAATTGTAATTTTAAATGACTAGGTGATGCCAATACAGTTAATGAGAACTGCTTTTCGTTTTTAGTGTGCATTGGTTTTAATGCTTAATGATTATTATTTTCTGGCAGATACACAGAATGAAAAGGAACGTGTGAGGAAGTATGGAGCTTTTATTCGGACGCTTCCACCAGTCAATAGGGCAACTTTGGCTGCTTTAATTGAACATCTTTACAGGTCAATGCAAATGATGCACTGTAGCAGAAAAATTACTGTAGTGTGTTCTTAGTATAACTATCATAAATAAAATGTGGCTTTTTTTCATTTAACTAGTAAGCATTAAAAGCTTACCTAGTTGTGACAATTAATTATATTTGATTCCCTTAATGTGTTTTTTCTTTGGTTGTGTTTTTAGCAGTAGGTATCTATAAATATCAGTGGGATGGAACAGCCTTACAGCAAGAGAGGGTTGCCAGTTTATGTGTCCAAGCAGGGTAATTTTTATGTAGCTTCTTTATATTAACTCATTTTAACCCGGTCTGCTGGTCTTCCAGAGGATTGTTGCAAATAATTCTTGAAATTAAAATATTTTTTCATGGAAAATTACCTTCTCCACAATCTGTATTGAACATAATAACTTTGAGAATTAGCTACTCTTTCTGTTTTTCATCAGTGCTTTATTTTGCAACTGAGGTAGCAGTAGAGAACGTCCAAAATAGAAACCTGTTTAAGCAACAAAGGTCATGTCTTATTCCTAGATCAAATAAGCAGTAGCAAATGTATAAAAAATGTGTGACTTGCACTGATCCTGCAGTGTCATGGTTAAATAGTAATGGCCTGTATTATATTATATTATCTATTGAACAAGTCAAATTATATTCCTGGTAATGGTGGTGGGTAGAGAATGTGCAGAACCTCTTCTTTACAGGATGTTGTGTTCAGAAGTTACATTACATAGTCAGGTACATAGCAGATGTCCTTTAAAAGCTGTTTATGTGATTATTGAATTGATTGGTGCCATTATTGGGATAAAGATTATATTGCATTTAATGACGTTTCTAAGCATATCTGGTTCAGATATATTAATATGCTGTTATATCCGTTCTGAAAGTAGTTTGAATTCATGTGTATAACAGCCAAAATTCTGTGATATGTTAAAATGTTTGCTTCTAAAAGAGGACGCATTATGGAAACAACAGAACTGATGGAAACTTTACTATAAGTATAGAAACTAAGAAGTGTCTCATTTCTTTGCAGATTTTGTTTGATCTTAGGTCATAAGTTTGTAGCATATGCTTATGCAATGTAATATAGCAAAGCTGTATTTAGCATTGGTGCAGCCTCAGCTTGAGTCCTGTGTGCAGTTCTGGGTCCTACAGCTTAAGAAGGATGTGAAGGTCCTTGAATGTGTCCGGAGGAGAGCAACAAAGCTGGTGAAAGGGCCAGAAGGAATGTCCTATGAGGAGTGGCTCAAGCCTTTGGGCTTGTCTACTTTGGAGAGAAGGAGGCTGAGGCGGAACCTCATTGCTCTCTACAGCTTCCTGATGAGGGGAAGTAGAGAGGGAGGTGCTGAGCTCTTCTCCCTGGTATCCAATGATAAGACACATGGGAATGGTTCAAAGCTGCGCCTGGGGAGCTTAAGACTTGATATTAGGAAGCATTTCTTTACCGAAAGGGTGGCCAAATACTGGAACAGGCTTCCTAGAGGTGTGGCCAATATCCCAAGCTTGTCACTGTTTAAAGAGGCATTTGGACAATGCCCTTAATAACATGCTTTAGCTTTTGGTCAGCCCTTAAGTGATCAGGCAGTCACACTAGATGATCACTGTGAGTCCCTTCCAAAGGAACTGTTCTATTCTATTTTTGTTTTATTCTAAATAATTTTGATATCAATTGAGATGCAAATTGAAAAGATAAGTTTTCATTTCTGTAATGAGATGTGAGATAAAGAATATAAAGAAATAAATATTAAAAAGAATAATATTAGATTTTTTTTTCATTGCATTTAATGTAGTTATTCTTTTTGAAATGCACTCCATATTCTGTAGAGGAGCCTCAGACAATTAAAGGAACAACGAAGTCTTCTAAATATGTTTATTTTTCCTTCAACAGGGTGCAGAAGTGTTCTGAAATCAATCATATGAACCCTCACAACCTAGCCATGGTGTTTTCTTCATGCTTATTTCAAACTAAAGGCCAAACTAGTGAAGAAGTCAATGTAATTGAAGATCTAATTAAAAATTATGTGCAACTTTTTGATGTAGGTATCATTATATAGAAGTGTCCTAATATAGAAATCTTCTTAAAGGTCATCTTTCTGTTAGTTGCACTGAGGATTTACATGGCTTTTGAACTCTAATTCAGTGGATGTTGTTCTTTGTCTGCTTTAAATTTTCTTTCCCAGCTAGTTTCGCCTGTGTAGGAAAGACTATATTTATAGAATTGCTATGAGTGACTGTTTTCCAAAATGGTGCACATTCTTCTTGCTGACACCAGCATACTGATTTTAAGAAAATTGTAAGATTATGACTGTGAAAAATAACACATATTCAAATTTTATGGGTCTGATCAGAACTGAAGCACAGAAGAATTACGTGTTCTTAATCTCTGAGCTTTGGTTACAATAAAGACTAGAGAAAGGGTTTGTTTCCTTAGGCCTAGAAAGAACATTTAATCCAACTGGATAGAAAAGATACTACTAGCAGCGATTTGTATTCGCCATTTTTACATAGAGTTTTCTCTGCCACCATAACATTGTCTGTTTTTCATGGAGTCCTCTCTCTGCTAATATTCATTTGGTAAAGTTTATGGTAATGAATCCTATCAATGAAGTGCTGTTTCTGAGTGACAGAATATTTTGCATAGCTGCTTCTATAAGAACATGATTAACAGTATTGTTAATTTTAACAATAGTTATTAATATTATTTACTGTTATTAGATGTAAGCATTCCTCTGTTTTTGTATTTATCTTAGTTTATTACATTAAATCAGTATTTGCTAGTTTCTGTTGTAATTTTTATACTAGGTCCCTTATACTTACTAATTGATCAGAAATGATCCATTTTAAACAGATAAATGAAGACCAGGTCAAACAAATGGACATAGAGAACAGCTTTATTACCAGATGGAAAGACACTCAGGTAAGTGGCAAATATAAACTGGTATGAAAACAATTTTGACAATGACTATGTTATTGTTTACAGGTTTTTTATACCTAGATTTCCAAATGTAAATTTCTGAGTTTGTATAGTGACCAATGTTGTTAATTACCGAGCTGAGGGAAATGAAGTAAAATTAAAGAGGAGGCATAAACTGATAAAGCAAAACAATTTTGTGTAAAGCATACTGTGGAATTTTTTTCTGGCCTGGGCAATGGGATAATTTACAGCTTGCTATGTACTTTTACTATGTTTCATAAATTGTACTAGAAGGAAATGATCAACATATTTAAGTGTGAGAGTGATGACCTGTCTTTTTTAATTTTAAACATACAAATTAAATACCTTCAAGTGTACATTTATACGTTATTATTTCATGAGATTTGCTTATACATAGTCTCTTGTCACTAAAGTTTCACCATCCCTTTGAGTTTAAAACATCTGAATCTTTAGCCACATCCTGTTTTGTGACTCTTTCTAGAACCTCTATGCACAAATACTATTTAGGGAGGCTTCAGATGTATATTAACAGTCAAGCTGAACTTTGAGACACAACGTAAGAAAATGGGAGATCTCATGCCATTTATTGTCATCTTGAGTTCCAGTCTTACCTGTAACAACTTTTGAATAAGTTCAGAGTGGTAAGAAACAGTGAAGTGGCAGCTATCTGGACAGTATTTGTGTACAGTCTTAATTAAAGCAAAAATTGGTTAGTTTCATAACACTGACAAGGTTGTTGAATTAAGAGAGGTAAAAGGAAATGCAGGGAGCTTAAAAGCTTTTTCAAAGTAGTGGAGGAGAAGCTTTCAGTGCTTTTTGGAGCTTATAGGGCTTTAGAAATGAATAGAAAGCTAGCAGAAAAAAAATCTGTTGGCTTCCTTGCCCCTTCCAGCAACAGTTTTGTGGTAACTTGTAATCCATCATTAAGATGACAGGGTCTTGCAAATACATGTTGAAATTGCATGTTCTGTGAATTGCTATCTGGAGTCTTATTTTTATCTCGTATTCCCTTATTGTCTCGGTCAGAGTGGCATTAAGCTTTCTGACCATAATGACCTACTGTGAATGTGCATATAGAAGGTAGAATGCCTGTTTCCTCCTTTTGGTGCCTGGTGGGGAGTGACCAAGTCACTGGGAAACAATTTAAAGTTTATTTCTAGTGTATGCCTTGCAGAATGGAAACATCTGCCTTGGTAATGGCAAAAACCAACCCAAATTTAATATCCCTAAGAGCATTCTGCAAGGCAGGGGTTGAAATATTTTTAATGGAACTTATTGGTTCTGGCGTCCATGAAAAGGACCTTACTGAGATTAGAGAATAAAATTTTGAAGCCTAAGATAGTGAACGTGCATAGACTTTTAAGTACATTCTTTTCTGTGGTTTTAGAACAAAAATTTATATTTGTTACAGCTTTTTACACTATTAACATTTTCTGAGCAACTCTGGGAAGCGGTAATGGTTAAACGTTTGTAATACCTTCTGGAAAAATTAGGGAGATATAGGCATAGTTTCATGAGTATAGAAAGAGATAGTGGAGAGATTTTATTAGATAGGGAGAAAAAAGTACAAAGGAAACTAAAAAGACTGTTGGTGGATTGAATAATATAGTAGCAACTGCTGGCTAGGTGGGTTTGTCTAAAACTGAAGCTGTGTGGAATATAGAGAAGACCCAAAGAAAGTGGTTTTGTTCTGTATTTTTTCCACCCCAGATACCACTGCGAAATCACCTTTATGAGGTGTATTATGTTTAGAAGGCTGCCTGTTGAAGAAAAAGACTTGCTTTTGTTTTTTTTAAAATAAAAGTCTAAGCTTTCTAAAATTAATAAGGTTTTTATTAAAAAGTTTCCAGCACCTGAAAAACTAGTCCTCCAAATTTTGAACTTTATAATCAGATTAGAACATTCATGAATAATTGGCCCTGTTTGGACTGGTGTCCCTGGGACTCCAGGGTTGTTGGGAGGCAGAGCTATAGAAAGATTGAACTGGGATTTTAACTGTTCTTATTTTGTACTCAGAAAAGTTTCTAGTATTAATAATCAGCTTTCTGAACTGATGGTTACACCTGCTGTGTTAATAGACTCTGTCTTGATTCTCATAACACACATGGCTAAGCTTTGAAGTTTTTATAAAAAAAGGTAATATCACCTTAACCTTAAAAATTAAACAAAATCAGGCCATTGGCATTCTTTTCTGCAAGCGTGCATTGTTGGCTCATGATCAGCTCAAGATTCTTCTTGGCAAAGCTGCTTTCCAGCTGTTTGATCCCCGGTGTGTACTGATGCCTGGGATTACTCCTACCAAGGTGCGAGAGTTGAATTTCCCGTTGCTGAACTTCGTGAGATTCCTCTCTGCCCAGTTCTCCAGCCTGTTGAGGTCCTTCTGAATGTATCAGCCACTCCTCCCAGTTTAGTACCATCTGCAGACTTCTTGAGGATGTGGTCTGTCCCATTATCCAGGTCATTGATGAAGGTTAATAGTCTCCTAGGTGTTCAGACAGTTTTTGATCCACATTACTGCCTACTTATGGAAACTGTATTTTGTCATCTTGTTGATAATGATGTTATGGGAGACACTGTCAAAGACTTTAGTAAAACTGAGGTGAACAACATCTGCTGCTATGCCTTCATCCACTAATTGTGGACTAATCACTGTAGAAGACTCAGTTTGGTTAAGCGTGATTTCCTCTTTGTAAGTCTATGCTGACTAAACCCAATCACCTTGGTCTTACTCATGTGTTTGGAAATGCTTTCCAGGAGGATTTTCTCCATCGCCTTCCCAGGGACTGAGGTGAGATTGACCAGCTTGTAGCTCCCCAAATCTTCCTTCTTGTCCTTCTTGAAGATGGGATAGACACCTGTGCTCTTCCAGTCTTTGGGAACCTCTCCCAGTTGTTGTGACTCTTCAAAGATAAGTGGGGAGTGACTTTACAGTGACATTGGTGAGATTTCTCAGCACCCATGGATTCTACTTCTCAGGCCCCATGGACTTATGTGCATCTAGTTGTTTTAAGTGCTCCTTAACCTGGTCCTCTTAACCACTGAGGGTAATCTTCCTTGCTCCAGACCTTCCCTCTGCTTTCAGAGGCCTGGGATTCCTGAAGATCAGTCTTATCAGTAAAGACTGAGGCAAAGAAGGCATTGGGTAACTTGGCCTCTTCTGTGTGATTGTCATCTGGTCCCCTGCCCTATTCAGCAGTGGGCCCATTTTTTCCCATCTCCCTTTTGCTGTTTATGTACTTGCAGAATCCTTTCCTGTTGCCCTTCACATCCCTTGCAAGCTTCAACCTGGGGCCAGCCTTAGTTTTTCTAACCTCATCCCTACACAATGGGACAGTAGTTCAGTGCTTTTCTTGACTCACCTGCCCCTGCTTCCATCTCATTTACATTTTCTTTGTACATCTGATTTCAGTAGGAGCTCTTTGCTCATCCATCCAGGCCTCATAAATAGAAAGAGAAAAATTTGCAGTGTTTTATAGTACTTAAAATTTGGAAGGCAGCAGTTAAAAGGCTTCTTATTTTATTAGGTCGTATGTAACTGTCAAATTTCGTCTCATTCATTCTTAATGACTAGAAATGACTACTTTTGGTTTCAGAGAGAACACTTGTAGAACTTAGAAAACTGAAGAAAATGGCACTTCCTACCTTAGTTTAAAGGAAGAGAAAGAGCTAAAAGGAAATGCTCCTACTACTAGGAGTTGTAGTTAAATGTATACATTTGAAATTTTTTTCTTCATCTGTGGGAAAAAAAAGCTCTCAAAGAATGTGTTAAATAAGTGCTAAATACTTAGACATGATGTATGAGAGACTCTCAGCTGGACTATGGAGTCTGCCTACTGAGTCTCCTAAATATGAAATGTCACGGATATTAAATTTCACTGAATTGTGGTATCACCTGGGTTCATCTGTAAGTTTTTGCTGTATTCATTAAGTTAAGCTTTCTCAGATAATTTCTCATTAAGCTTTCTCAGATAATTTCTAGAGTAAGTTATTACACCACAGGTATGACTTCCATCTCGGCACTGCTTTTTTTCTTCTTTTTTTTTTTTCCCTCTTTTTTTCTCCCCTCTGGCAAGAGGTCTTGTTTTTGCATACCATGAAGAGTTGTGAAAGTCCAAAGGTCTTAGGTGCACGAGGGCTAACCTCACCTGGGGTGCAGAAGCACTCCCTGACTTGCTTTGTGATCCTGGGACCCTGGTTGCTCAGGTTCTTTCCAGGCCCATGCTCTTAGGTTTCCGGTGGCATGAACTCAAGTACTGTTTCCATTTTAAGAATTTATTGCAAGGCTTCCGGATCCCAAATGTACTGTTCTGTCCCAGATTAAGCGCTTAAGTTACTTGTGAAATGAATAGGGAAGGGAGACTTGAATGTCATGCTGCGTGGGAAGCCTTCTGACCTAGCCAGTAGCTGGGATGCTGAAGGAAGGAGCCTCTGCAGACCATGCAGCACAGAGATTGGACTTCAGGCTCAGGCAGGACAGGTAGCTCTTTGGGAACTTTTCTGGATGGGATTCCAGTTACTGCTAAAACTGGTGATATGGTGCAGACCAAGTGATGTAACAGCATGGGTGATTGGCAACTTAGGCCTCAAGCAGCTACAATTAAGAATTGTGGGTAGGAAACCTTTACATTTAACACCTGATAGTCTGACATTGTTAAATCAAAATGCGTACATATTTCTGGAAATAATCAGTGATGTGGATACTGAATACATTTGAGTGTATAGGCTGCTATATTAGTATTATCTCCAGGCTGGTGATGCAGACTGTTCAGAGAAGAACAACTGAACCACATCTCTGCTGAAGGCCTGGAAGTTCTCATGTCTGAAATGTCAGGTGGCAGTTTATTAGCTGCTCTTCATTTTCTGTCCAACGTATTCTTATACCAGCTGTTTCTCTTTGCTGTTGTAATTTATATCACATTTTCTCTCCATACGGTTCTTTACATGAGCCCAGTGGAAATCAAATGTCAGCTTCATTCCTGTTTCTGCCCTTTTTCTGTAATATCATCTGAAAAGCAAATTTTACAACTAAATTAGCTTTTTTGAGTCAGTGCCACTACAATTAAGCAGCTTTCTCCAAAGTAGCTTTGTAATGGTTTTCCTCACAAATGTTTCCATTAGTTTTCTGTTCTCAGAGGCTAACCTAACTTTAAAGTCAACGTTTTTCAGAATGTTGATGTTCTTTGAAATTGAGAGCTGCCATTAATTTTTCAGTAGAAATCGTAGTTTTGGCTTCTGTAAATTAGTCAAGATGCATCCCAAAGCTTGCCTGTTTCTATAATTTTCTCCATATCTTATTCTGTATATGATGCAGGATTTTTACTTTTCTTAACCTCTTTCTCTGTTTGTAGTAATATAGAAATAAGTAGCATCCCTATGAATCACAGAATCACAGAATCAC